ACTGATAACAGTTAACAGATTAGAAATAACAGTTAATAGATAATAGATTATAGTTAACAGTTTACAAATAACATTTAACAAATAATGATTAATCGAATCCGAAAGATCTCTCAAATACATCAAACACAAAGCCTTGTTATTCAAAGCAATTACATCTCCAGGGTCCCTCTCAATGCACTCCTCATACTCCCTCATAGCCTAAACATAGTCATTCTCCACTACGAACTCCAATGCTTTATTCCTCCATATCAAATTCTCAAACTCCACCGACTCCCCTTTCTTCAAGTCTTCAACTCTAAAAAATGACGCCTTTGCGCCAACCAAATTCCCAGTCTGAAGCTGAATATACCCCAACTCCAATAATTATAACAGATCGAGCTCAAAACGAAAACCTCCCTCCTCCTCCAACACTCAGACTCCTCTGATCCCTCTCAAACCCTCTCCCTCACAAAATCAAGAAGCTCATACAACCGATCTATAGTCTCAGCATGACTGTTGAGCCGCTGTGGGGGCTCGGCATAGAGATACCGCACTGCGAACGGGATCATGGATCCGGATAGGTTCGAATACGTTTCGGGGTAAGTTTAGTAGTAGTATTTGGGGGAGTCGAAGGGGAGTATGGTTTGGATCTCGAGGGAGGAGGTAGAGAAGTTGCGAATCTTGAAGAGGGTCAGGGCGTTGAAGGCGAGGTAGACGAGGTGCTCATGGGGGGTCGAGAGGCGGTTGAGGGAGAGGGCGACAGCGACCTTGTCGGCGATAGAGTGCCACTAGTCGTGAGAGGAGAGGTCGATGAGGGATACGAGTTTGTAGCAGAGGTCGGAGGGCGAGGTGAAGAGGACGACGGAGGAGAGGGGATCGCCGATGGTTGAGGGCACTTGGATTTTGAGATGATGACAGAGGAGGAAGAGGAGGAGGAAGAAGTTGGGTTTTGGGGAGATGACAGTGATTTTGGGGAGGGGTAAAGTTGGGTTTTTGGATAAAAAACATATAAAATTAGGCTAATCATGAGCTGGAGGGGTTGGGGCATAATTTTTTTAAACTTTGGGGGCTGCAGCACATTACAAAAAGTATGAGAGGCTGGGGCACATTGCCTTTTAAAATTTGGGGCCTTGACATAATTTTTCCTATTATTTATCTATAGGCTTTGAGTAGCTTGGCTTTAGAGTTCTTATTATATTAGAACTCTTGATAGATGAATTTTGTAAGCCTTTAAATAGTCATTCATGAATCCTTGTACAAAAAAAGAAGAAAAAAAGAAAAATAATGTGCACTGTTGTTATGGTATTTTCAATCGCTAAAGTGCAGCCCTTTGCCAGCAACGGACATGTGTACTTCAACATGCAATGCCCCGATCAAACTGGAGGCCAAAACCAGCAAGGACCTCGACTTAGCCGACTCGTCGAGTCGACATTCCCTTATGTTGACTCGAAGGGCGGTGCTTGTCAGTCCTCTTGTCGAAGACGACTCGCTATGAGCGCACTCGACCAGCTATTTGATACTTTACGGGGTCGACTCGAAAGATGTTACTTCTTGGCTAAGCCAAAGGATGACTTCAACATCGAGCCTTTCCCACTGATAACGTGTCAACATTGCATTTAATGCTTGGCATGCACCATCATGCCTCTAGCCCCGATAGTCTTCATTACTCATCAGACCACGTCAGCACCGTCATGCCCCCAATCATTTCACATTTAATACAGAAGTGATCTCTCCGTCACTCGCCGAGCGATATATGTAAAGTAGGTGCTGACATAGCCGTCAGGCCATACTTCTTCATCGCTATCCTGTGCTCAGCCGAAGTGATAGTTCTACCCTTATACTACCAGTATAAATAGAGGTACTATTCTATCATAGAGAGGACTTGGATTTTTTCTCTCGGATATACTCTGGTCGTGAATCTAAGCTACCTTAAGCAATTTCTAAGCAATCATGCTGCACTACACTTAAGAACTTATGCAGTTCTTTATTTTCCCACTCAAGTTCACCAGCTGACTTGATCGTCGAAGGTACAACGGGGGAACCAAGCACCGTCCTCTCATGAATTTTTATTTGTATAGGTTTCAGCTACTCAACTCAGAACTGGATATTCAGGGAAGGAAGCGGTCCCTCATCAACCTCATCATCCCGAAATATTGACTGTTTGGTTACCCATCATCAACAACTGTAGCAGCAACCAAAACAAAACAGAGAGCATAAATTTAGTTGTTCTTCCCTTCCTCTCTCTTCATATATCTTGATTATTTAATTGCCTCTTTGTTAGTAGTTGATCCAACAGTGGTATCAGAGCCATGAACAATCTAAACGGGATGACATCGCCTTCTATTCCTATATTGGATGGGAAGAATTATCACCGGTGGAGAGTGTAGATGAATGTGTTGTTTGAATATCAAGATATATTGGGTGTCATAGAGAACGAAGTTACCAATCTCGCAGATAGCGCAAGTGAAGTTGAGAAGAAAGTCCACTGTGGGATCAAGAAGAAGGATCAAAAGGCGTTATTCTACATCCATCAAGGAGTGAATGATTCAGTTTTTCAGAAGATAGACGGAGCAACTACAACAAATCAAGCGTGTGATACTTTGGAGACATCATACCATGGAGTTGAAAATGTGAAAAAAGTTAGGCTTCAAACATTGAGACGTTAATTTGAAATTTTGTAGATGGAGCCCTCTGAAAGTGTTGCATATTATGTGACTCGAGTACTTGCTTTGACAAATTAAATAAAAATAAACAGAGTGAATGTTACAGATTTAGCAATTGTGGAGAAGATATTGCGATCCTTTATAGCAAATTTTGATCATATCGTGGTGGAAATTGAAGAATTGAAGGATTTGTCTAAGATGACAGTTGATGAGTTTATGGGTACCTTACAAGTTCACGAGCAACGTATGAACGAGAGGTCAACTGCGAAGCCCCTTGAGAAAGGTTTTCAAAGTCAAGCTTTTATAAAAAAATAACAAAGAAGCGCAATGCGAAAGAAGCGCAATGCGAAAGAGGATGAGGATGCGAGAACTACAACAACCAAGGATGCAGATACTATAATAGTCAAGGACGTGACAGTTATAACAACAATCAAAGAGATGTTGGCAATCAGAGAAGCAATTATCAATCAAATTCAAATTATCGAGGTCAAGGTCGAGACTTTGGATGTAGTAGAGGAAAATTTAATAAATCAAATAGTGAATGTTACATATGTCACAGATATGGCCATTATGCAAAGGAGTGCAAGTACCAGGATAATTCCCAATCCGGAGAAGAAGTTCGATTTGCACAAGAAAGAGGTGACAAAGATAACCACACTTTATTGATGGTCACGGCAGCCGGTGAAAAATCAAACTACAACACATGGTTTCTTGACACTGGGTGTTCTAATCACATATGTGGAAAGAAGGAGTTGTTCGTGGACCTGGATGAGTCAATGAGATCCAAAGTCAAGTTTGCCGATGACAACACTATACCAGTGATGGGAAAAGGGAGAGTTCTAATCAAGCTGAAGAACAGAGATCACAAGTTTATTTTTTATGTATTCTATGTGCCAAATATGAAGAACAATTTACTCAGTATGGGCCAACTTCTTGATAAGTGGTATGATCTGCGCTTTTCTGGAAATCAACTCTTAATCTTTGATAAAAGAGGTGTATTTGTCCTTAAAGCCCCTATGACAAATAATAACATGTTTCGAGTTGACATCTAGAATGATGTTTATCATTGCTTCAATGCTATTATAAAAGATGAGTCTTGGTTATGGCATCTTCAGTTTGGATATCTGAATTTTCGCAGTTTGAAGTTGCTTACTTAAAGAAATTTGGTGAGAGGCTTGCCCATTGTAGATCATCTCAAATAGTTGTGTGAATGTTGTATTCTTGGAAAGCAACATAGATCATCCTTTGGTATTGAAAATACTTGGCGTGTAAAGAAGCCTCTTGAACTCATTCATTTAGATGTGTGCGGTCCTATGAGCACTATATCCAATGGCAATCATCGATATATTTTAAGATATGGGTCTACTTTTTGCAGCAAAAATCTAAAGTCTTTGTTTATTTTAAGAGCTTTAAAGCCTTAGTTGAGAAGAAAAGCGGTTACTTTATGAAGATGCTATGAACAGATGGAGGAGGTGAATATACTTCTAATGAATTCAATAAGTATTGTGCAGAAGAAGGAATAAAGCATGATGTCACTTTTCCC